GGACCATTTAAAGCATTTGCAGGAAACCTTCAGTATATTGAAGAAGTACAACATGAAGCTAAATCCAGAAAAATGTGCATTCAGGGTCGGGTCCGGCAAGTTTCTCGGATTCATGGTATCCAATCGAGGGATCGATATCAACCCTGATAAGATCAAAGCTATCGAAGATATCATAGTACTGCATAATATGAAGGTTGTACAAAGGCTAACCAGGCACATTGCAGCCCTGGGGTGATTCATCTCGAGGTCGTCCGATAAAAGTCATCGATTCTTCTCGTTGCTGAAAAAGAAGAACAACTTCGCATAGACCCCATAATGTTAACGAGCTTTAGAGGAACTTAAGAGATACTGGTCGAGCCCACCATTGGTTCACACGCCGAGGGAGGACGAACAACTGTACTTGTACCTAGTGGTATCGGAAATAGCAGTAAGTGGAGTCCTAGTCCGAGATGAACAAGGTACACAATTTCCAATTTATTATGTCAGTATGACCTTAGGTAAGGCCGAAACTAGATACCCTCACCTATAAAAATTGGCATTCACCTTGCTAAGTGCCTCTAGAAAACTGAAACCATATTTCGGTGCCATCCTATATGTTTTGTGACAACCTACCCTTTACGAAATATAATGCATAAACCCGAACTCCCGGGACGATTGGCCAAATGGGTCGTCGAAATCTACGTGTACGATATTAAATATTATCCCCGAACGGCCATTAAATCCCAAATTTTGGAAGATGTCGTAGCCGACTTTACTCCGGCCCTAATACTTGAAGTTGAAAGAGAGTTGTTGGTACACTCGGGAACATCTTCGAGAATCTGGACCCTCTTTACGGACAGTGCTCGAACGTAAAAAGGTCCAGACTTGGCATCGTACTAAAGCTTCCCACAGGCAATATAGTTAGACAATCTATTAGAACTGTAAAATTGACTAACAACGAAGCCGAGTATAAGGCCATGATTGCAAGTCTAAAATTAGCCAAAGTCTTAGGAGCGGAGGTGATCGAGGCTAAATGTGACTCCCTCCTGGTGGTAAACCAGTAAATGGAACATTCGAGGTCAGGGATGAACGAATGCAAAAGTACTTGGAAAAGTTACAAGTAACATTGCATTGCTTCAAAGAATGGACTTTACAGCACATGCCCCGAGATCAAAACAGTGAAGTCGATGCCCTCGCAAACTTAGGGTCATCGATCGAAGACACTCGGGGGCAGTCGTACAGCTTATGAGGTCGGTAGTAGAAGAGGGTCACACCAAAATAAACTCCACAAGCTTGACTTGGGATTGGAGAAATAAATACATAGAATATTTGAAGACCGAAAAACTTCCCTCAGATCCAAAGGAATCGAGGGCCCTGTGCACAAAGGCAGCCCGATTTAGCTTGCGCAAAGACGGAACCTTACTCAGGAGAACGTTCGACGGTCCGCTAGCGATATGCCTGGGATCGGGAGATACCGAGTACGTTTTGAGGGAAGTCCATGAAGGCACATGCGGGAACCATTCAGGCGCCAAATCACTAGTTCGAAAGGTAATCAGAGCCGGCTATTACTGGGTCGATATGGAAAAAGATGTGAAGGAATTTGTGCAAAAATGTGATTAATGTCAAAGACATGCCTCGATGATTCATCAACACGGGGAGCTGCTGCATCGGTTTTATCGCCATGGCCATTCATGAAGTGGGGGATGGACATCTTCGGCCCTTTTCCATCGGTGTCAGGTAAGGCTCAATTTGTTTTGTTTATGACTGACTATTTCTCTAAATGGGTTGAAGCACATGCATACCAAAAGATCAGGGAGAAAGAAGTCATCGACTTCATTTGGGACCATATCATATGTCGGTTCAGAATACCATCCGAAATTGCACGTGACAACAGAAAATAGTTTATCGACAGCAAAGTGACCAAATTTCTCGAAGAGCACAAGATCAAAAGGATCTTATCAACACCTTATCACCCTAGTGGGAATGGATAAGCTGAATCGATCGGCAAAACCATAATCCAAAACCTCAAGAAAAGGTTAACTGATGCCAAGGGGAAATGGAGAGAGATCCTGCCCTAAGTTCTTTGGGCGTATCGCACAACTCCGAAGTCCAGCACCGGTGCCACCCCGTTCTCATTGGTTTATGGTGCCGAAGCTTTAATATCAGTCAAAATCAAGGAGCCGAGCATCAGATTCCAATATGCGATGAAGTAATCGAATGACGAGGCCTTGAATACAAACCTGGAGCTATTGGATGAACGGTGTGAAGCTGCCTTTGTTCAATTGGCTGCTCAAATGCAACGGATTGAAAGGTACTATAATCAAAGGGCCAACGTTCAATATTTTAATGTCGGGGACTTAGTACCGAGGAAGGTCACATTAAACACCAAAAATCCAAATAAAGGGAAATTGGTTCCAAACTGGGAAGGGCCGTACCAGATTCTCGAGATCACAGGGAAAAGGTCCTATAAGCTCGGAACGATGGACGGAGAACAACTGCCGAACAATTCGAACGTAACTCATCTTAAACGATATTACTGCTGAGGTACGACCCCATTTTAATTCTTTCTATTTTTTGACTAACACTTGCAGGTTATCGACAAGGAGCGGCACAAAGCCTTTAGGTTTAAATGCACACGTTGCACTCTTTTTCCCTTGAACTGTTTTTGCCCCAATTGGGTTTTCTGGCAAGATTTTTAACGAGGCAACAGTGGATCGTGCTAACTTAGAATCGAAGACCAATCACGAATGACAACACTAACAGTATCCGAGGTTCCTATACAATCAACCTCGAATACTGGGGGGCACTGCTCTTGGATGTCAACTTTGTTGCGAGGAAATTACTTCATAATAGCGGGGTCTCGATAGGTGAGATTTGTTGTAAGGGCCAAACGGTTAAACGAACCGTGCCCACATAGGTTGCTTGATATTTGGCACCAAACATGTATGTATATATAATCATTTTTTACAAGAATAAAGAGAAGTATTTTTCCTTGCAATTATCTCATGTCTTAGAAAAAGTTTTTCTACATTACAATTCCGTACTTTCGATCTATAATGGAAATGAGCTCAAGGGCCGATCATAACTAGAGTTCGGATAATCACTCCCACACTCAGGGGCAGCCGTCCAAAAAATAAGCTCGAACAGATCGAACAATTGAGCGTCGAGGGCATAAGACCTCTTAGGCAACCGTCAAATTTTAAAGGCCACAGCCATACCCACTCGGGGACTGTTATCTTAGGCAAGCCTGGATAACTCAGAAAAGCAAGCTCACTGGGCTACGCCCAAACTAAAAGGCTACGACCAATTTAACACAGTTCGGAGACGTCCGAAATCCATAACAAAAATAGGCCTTCGAAAAAGAAAAAATTCTTTCACAACCGGTTCTAAAGGCTACTCTTGGCAGAATCTTAAACTTAAGATATTTTCGGGAGAAAACTTTGGTAACATCGAACCCCTATAACGCCTTAACCCAGAAAGGCAATAAAGGCAAGGTTTGTTCGAACCCTCGAACACAACCTTATTGTTTCATGCTAAGGCATTCCAACCTTTGTGAATACAAACGATAAAAGCAAAGGAAAAAATTTGAGAGCCGAAAGGGAAAGAAAAGCCTTGTATTTATATACAACAGTTTTTAACAAAGGCCAAGTCGGCCTAATTAAAATCTACAACAGCTGAAATGGCCTCAAAGGGATACAAAAGAAAAATAAAAAACCTAAAGGCCGAAGTGGCCTGGTCTTCATCTGAGGCAACATCTCCCTCCTCGAGATCTTCCCCGCCTTCAGACTCACTTAAACTATCTGAGTCGTCCTCGGGAAAGGCTAGCTTTCGAGCCCTGGCTTTCTCTGCTTTGGCGTTCTCGAGTGCAGCCTGTGTATCGAATCCCTGAGCATGTACTTCCTCGATGGCTTCCCTTCGAGCTTGCCACTTTGCATGATCCACCATGCTTTTGGCATGTGCCTGGATGGCCCCAACATCGACCTTATACTGGGTCGCAGTAGCATTGGCTTTAGTGTTGGCAGCGGCCACCTCAGATTTGGCTGCCTCGAGCTCATTAGCCAAGTTAGCTAATTGGGATTGAAACTCCTCAATTTTATTTGCTTGCATCGAGGTTCTCTCTCTTGCAAACCGGAGATGGGACTCGGTCGGCTCCAACACTGCTTAGACGGCCTCCTTCTTTGAGGATAAGATATTCATATTCTTCTTGAACTCTTCAGCCTCGGCTTGAATTGCATCTATTTGTTTCTGAAGATCCTCGATCTGTTCGAGCCTCTGCCGGACCTGCAGAATCGGATCGTTAGTCGTTATCTCTAATTCGTCTTCACTATTGTGAAGCACTCGGAATGCCTATTCGGCCATCTAAGCATGTTCGTCCCGAGTCTTCACTAATCTACCTGAAGCTTTTCATTGAGAAGATTGTAGGTATCATTTTTTTCAGTGAGGTCCCGAAGCTCGGCCTCGCACTCCTCCCGAATTCGAAGGAAAGCCTCGTGATGCAACACTGAACCCTACAAACAAGGAAGAAAATGTTAGAATTACCTATGACTCCAAGTTTAAAAGTGATAATGGGATGACCCTCGAAGTTACCCGATTCAGAGCATGTTAGGCCTCATTAAACAGGCAAGCGACTCCTACCGCATTCATCACAGCTTGGTCCTCCTCGGTCACCAAGAATCTAAGATAGCTAGTAATCTCGATGGGGGAAGGGGGGGGGAAGACCCGGGCATCCTCCGGTATAGAAAGCACTATATTCCACCTACAGTCGGGGTTAATACTTAGGGTCGGGAATCGGTCTACCAGTTTTTGGCTCGATGAAGACCCAGTAGTGCCCGAAAATAGTGCCTTCTTTGGCACCGGTAAATCACCAAGCCCGGTGACATCTCCCATAGCGGCAAACTCTACCCCATCAAAGAAGCTGTGGATATCAACCGCCTTCTGATGACCCTCGTAAGAGCGACCTTCCAACATATTAGCCTCACGGATCATGGAGTCCGAAAATTAAGGGGATTCAAAAATATCAATCACTCCGAGATCGTCCCTCGGGACACTTCAGCTACCCGGGAAGCCTCGCACCCGGTTTCTCCCTCGAACGTCTCAGCTTGAGACTGAATGGTCTCAACTCCTTTTGGTTTAGGAACTTCGACTGAGGCTCCCTCATCAGCCTCCTCACGGGCTACTAGATTTGATTTCTCTTGTTCTTCATCTTTGGACTCGTCCCTTAGCCGATGCACTGAGTCCAAAGATAGAGCAATGATGCTCCCCTTGGGTTTACGGGCTTGCCTTTTCTTTGGCTTTTTCTTTTCCGAGTTCGAGGAACTCGGAGCCCCTTTTCTCTTCTTCCCTTTGGCCTGCTTCGGAGCAGGTGGTTGGGAAAGGATTTATTCTCACTATGGGGGCCTCATTTCTGTTACATCTAAGTTTCAATGATGACAATTATGCAAAGCTAAATCCTATCTATGTTGATTGCAGGAATTAAGGCACCATCAAGAGCATCAACAAATAGGATATAAGAACGAATATTTGATGATGCTAAAATAAAGGAAGTCCAGAATTGAGGATGTTAAATCAAAGGAAGTCAAGCCATCAAAAAGGAAACAAAATCAGTCCCGCCATCTCAGTCTCAATCAAAGGACATAGAGGCTATCTAACAAAGGAAATATATCAAGTGCAGCTCGAGAATATCGGGCCACTCCTAAAGGACTATATTTTTGAAGATTGACCAACCAAATCGAAGCCTCAAATCACTCCATGAAATGAGTACATGAAAGAGGAAGGACATATACGAATCCAGCCCATCTATAGTGCAGGATTCGGAGGCACCCCTTAGGTCAAATCTCTTAGAAGAATCAGTGCCTCAATAAAGATCAGTCTGCAAAAGGATTTTGTGCCTTAATCAAGATCAATCTGCAATGGCTCTCAAACTCTCCTTTAAGAAGACTTCCAATCTCAGGAAGAAGATTTACGCAACTACAAACACTGTCTTCTAAGTCTCTCTAGTTCTTAGCACAAACACTGTATTCTTGAGTTTAGAAGTGTCACAAAAGATAGGAAGAGTTATAATACAAAAGAGAGTTGTGTCAATATCCAGAAATGACTATTAATCATCGTTTGTGGTGAATGAACTAAAACTATCACTGTTGTAATTCCTTATCAAGATCTAAGAGAACCCTTCTGACCCAAAAGAACTGGACATAAGTACCACACCGGTACTCAATCGGTATAAAAAACCTATTGTGTCTTGTTTAGATTTGCATTCGTTTGATTTATATCTGCTTTACCTATTTGCCGCGTTAAACCTAGTCGACTAAACTTACAATTAGTCAACCAATTTTTAATAGACCACAATTCACCTCCCTCTTGTAATTTGAATTGGTATCAGAGCAAGGCTCACAAACTTTGCTTAACAGCTAGTGAGGAAAAGATCATGGGATCGAACACAGTCGTTGGTGCATTATTTCAAAAAGGAACCTGTCAAGTATGACCGCCATATTTCAATGGACAACACTTTTCTCATTGGAAAGTGCGTATGGAAACATACACCATGTCATATGACATCAAAGAAAGATGAGAATGGTCAAGTCATAGTATCAACTGATCCACTCGATTTGGATGATTACATTGATGAGCAAGTTGTTGTCATAACTGTGAATGCTATAGCAAAAAATCAAATGTACAATGTTATCAGTGGTGAAGAGTATGAAAAGATCTGAAGCTGTGAAATTGCTAAGGAAATGTGGGATAAATTGGAGGTCACATATGAAAAAGAAACAAGGATAAATCTTTTGGTTCGTGAGTATAAGCTATTTCAAATGAAGGATGGAGAATCAGCAGAGGAAATGTTCTCCAGGTTCAGCAAAATTCTTGGAGATCTAAAATTCTTTGGTAGAACAATAAAGAGCGGAGAACAAGTCAGAAATATTTCACAAGTCTACCCACAATTTGGCAGCCCAAGGTCATTGCTCTGGAGTGTCAAAATGTTGACAAAATTTCCTATGATGAACTTAGAGGTGATCTAATAGCCTTTGAGAAAACTCACTTTGACAGGCAAATTTAACAAGAAAAGAAAAACATAGTTGCCTTCAAAGCAACTCTGGCTGAACCAAAAGATGAAGAAGAAGAGGAAGGAAGAGAACAGGATGAAAACATAGCCATGCTCTCCCAAGTTGTAACAAGCACGATGAGGAAAAAAAGAAATAGCAAAAGAGGTAAACCAAACTTAAAGGGAAGGACAAACAATGAAAATGATGGAGGATGCTACGAATGTGGAAAACACGGACACATTCAAGCTGATTGTCCCAAACTAAAGAAGAAGCTCAGCAGGAACCTTCAAAAGAAGAAGTCCTTTGGAGCCCGGAGTAATGAAGAAGAATCTGACCATGAAGTAATTGCAAATATGTTTTTCATGGACATAAAAGATGATAGCAATGAAGAATCAGGAGAGCTTGGATTCATGGAAGATGAAGGAGCAGATGAGGAAGAAGACTCAGGTGGACTTGGCCTTATGGCAGACGAGGGAACCTGTGAGGTACGTCTCGCTACTTGTCCCAACTGTTATGAACTTCAAGAATTTGTTGATATTGCTCTTGCAGATATTGAAAGAGTTCTAAATGAACTCAGAAAGATCCAAAGAGAAAAGAAAGATTGGGCCTTGAAGCTGGAAGTTTGTGAAATTGAGCGTGAGATGCTTCAAGAAGAAGTTAATGAACTTCAACTTCAACTGAATGGATTACAGAAATCCACAAGTCATAGTTCTACCAAATCAAATCAAACTGCTTCTCATAATTCTTTTATTAGAACTAGAAACTCTCATGCATGCTCTTATTGTGGTAAAAATGGTCACAACACTAACCAATGCAGGAACAAAATCATAGCAGAAAGAGGCTCTAAAAATCCCAAAAATCCATCATGTTTTTATGTGGGAAACATGGTCACACCTCTAACCTTGCAGGTTCAAGGACAATAGGAGATGGGTTTGGCGACCTAAATCCTATAGTCAAGCTAACACTCAGAAATCTAACCATTCAGGACCCAAGCATGATTGGGTACCTAAAAACAAGTAATTTTGTTTTGCAGGAACACCGCAAGAAGAATCGAAAAGGGAAATGGTATCTTGACAACACGTGTTCTAGACATATGACTAGTGACAAATAATTATTCAAAACAGTCACCAAACTAGATGGAGGAACAGTTACCTTTGGAGATAAATCAAAAGGAAACATTATTGGAGTTGGAAAAGTTCCCCTAAGCTCAACATGTGATGTGGACGAAGTTTACCTGGTCGATGAACTCGGTTACAATCTTCTCAGTATCAGTCAACTATGTGACAATGACTATAAGGTTCGTTTTATGAAACATGGCTAGTTTATAGAAGACGAATCAGGTAAAATTATTCTTTCAGGAAATAGAGACAGGAATATCTATGCTATCAGTAATGTAGATAGCCCTGGTGATTAAATATGTCTTGCTTCTATGATTGATGCCATGGGTTTGGCATAGAAAACTTGGACATGCTAGCATGCATACCATTCAAAAACTTTCTAAACACGATCTTATTGGTCTTCCAAAATTAGATTTTTCAAAAGATCATATTTATGATGCATGTCAATTAGGAAAACAAACTCGTTCATCTTTTAAAATCAAAAACATTGTTTCTACTACTAAACCTCTTCAACTATTGCATATGGATTTGTTTGATCCAACTAGAACTGCTAGTATCTGTGGCAAAAAATATATTGTTGTTATTGTGGATGACTTTTCTCGATTTTCATGGGTTATTTTTTTTGGGAATTAGACTTTATTTCCACGTAAATAGATACAAGTATATCTCCTAAGTTTGGACATGCATCCCCAAACTTAGTAACGTCTCTTCCTCAATGCCTACTCTAAGGATAATAGTTGAGCTTTTGCAGACTATTCCTCAATATACTATGACTATGACATACACAATGAATGTCTCTAACTATTTGTCTGGTAATATCTTCACTGCTTCTCTTAATCTTGTGAAAGATCCTTCTGTTTCTTTCCAGCCATATGTGGTATACTGCTCCAGTCATACACAGCCTGTACAACATGGTTTTGGATCCGTTGCCTTTCACCTGTTCTATTGCCCATTTGATATCCTCATCCCATCCTTTTGGTTCTCGACTGATATCCATCCATTTTAGTAATCTCCAAATATCTTCTGAGAAAGAGCAAGTTAAGAAGATATGGTTGTGACTTTCCATCTCATGCTCACACACTGGACATTCTGGACTTACTTGCATTCCCCATCTTATCAGTCTATCTTTTGTATATAAACTCCCCTGCACTGCTAGATACATAATAAATTTCCATTTTGGACAGCTTCTGTTATTACACAACAATCGACTCCAGCTCACCTTTAGAAATTCCCCTCTTAGTTGCTTATACATTCCTCTAATGGAAAATGAATCAGTTTGCATTACCCTTCCTATGTCCAAACCTGCTTCAGTCAAGTATTTCCCAACTTGTAGTATCTTCCTTACAATCCAAGAAATTCAAATCGTTTCATGGATTATTTTTTAAGTCATAAAGATGAAGCTCTAAGGTATTTTGAAGTTTTCTGTAAGAAGGTTCAACGCGAAATAGGATACTATATTTCCACTATCAGAAGTGATCACGGGTGAGAATTTGAAAGCAGAGCTTTTGAAAACTTTTGCAATGACCAATGAATCTCTCACAATTTCTCTTCACCAAGGTAACCTCAACAGAATGGAGTGGTCAAACGTAAAAATAGAACTTTACAGGACATGGGAAGAACCATGATTGTGGAAAACTCTTTACGCCACCACTTTTGGGCTGAAGTTGTGTGCACCGCATGTCATATTATCAACAGGTGTTTGATTCGACCCATTCTTAAAAGACCCTATATGAGCTATGGAATGGTAATATACCCAACATCAGTTACTTTCACCCGTTTGGATGCAAATGCTTCATTTACAATAATGGAAAGGACAATCTGGGTAAGTTTGATCCAAAAAGCGATGAAGGTATATTTCTTGGATATTCTCCCTCAAGTAGAGCATATAGAGTTTATAATAAAAGAACTTTATGCATTGAAGAATCAATTCATGTTTTTTTCGTTGATACTAACCCTCGCTCAAGGAATGAAAAACTTCCTGACGATGAGGAAATTTCTATTGTCCCCAAGTCTGTTGTTGTAGGGAATGAAGGCAAAAATGAGTCAACTAGTCAGCAGAATCAGTCAACTGAGGAGCACATCCAGGAATCTTCTTCAACAGAACAGTCGACTACTGAGGAAAAGGAACTAACCATGAACATTCCAAATGAGTGGAAAAGTGAACCTGTATATCCTGACAAATTCATTATCGGAAATCCACCGGAAGGAATCACTACCAGGAGATCTCAAAAGCTCAACTCTCACATGGCTCTAATTTATCAACTTGAGCCAAAGAAAGTGGATGAAGCACAGAAAGATGACTACTGGATCAAAGCAATGAAAGATGAACTTGATCAATTTGAAAGAAATAAAGTGTGGAAACTGGTTCCAAAACCATCTAATGGCTCTATTGTAGGAACTAAATGGGTTTTCAGAAATAAGTTGGACGAGTCCAGACAAGTGGTACAAAATAAAGCACGGCTGGTGTCACGACCCCAAACCACCCCGGCCGTGACGGTGCCTATCACAGTACTAGGCTAGCCGATTCGATATTTATAACATAACAGACCTTTTTCATTTGTTCATTTACTAATAAGATATTATCATAAATCTTCCGTTCAAACATTTCAAAACAAGCAAAAAGTGTTTAACATTAAAACACCGCCCGGTCTCGGAGTCACTAGTCATGAGCATCTAGAGTACAAGTCTAATACAGTCTACTAAAATGACAAAGGAGTCTAAAACAACTGAACAACTATAAGATAGGAGGGAGAAAAGCAGGGCTGCAATCGCCAGGTAGCTACCTTACTAACTCCGATAGACCTGCCACTGAGTAATCAACACCCGCTACGGGGCTCAGAAATACCTGGATCTACACACAAGGTGCATGGAGTAATGTAAGTACGCCAACTCAGTAAGTAACAATCATAAACAAAGGCTGAGTGCAGTGAGGAGCAGTAAAATCACATAAAGTTCACAATATAAAGTCTCAGTGAAAAAAACAACAAAGGCCAAATCAGTATCCCAGTCAACATATCTCGCAAAACTCTAGTTTCAATGAAAACCATATAAAAACATTTTTTTCACCAGTTTTCAATAGAGGCTCAATATATAAAAAAATGGAGTGAAAAAAGTAATTTCATAAACAAGCCCCTCGGGCAAAGTATCACTCACATATAGCCCCTCGGGCGAAGTATCCCTCGTATATAGCCCCTCGGGCGAAGTACCACTCATATATAGCCCCTTGGGCAAGCCTCTCAGTCACTCGTGGCTCAAAACTTATCAATTAGCACTCACACTCAGCACTCACGCTCAATAGGTACCGTATAATAACCGCTGCGGCGTGCAGCCCGATCCATAAATATATAGTCGACTGCGCTCACTGGGGGTGTGCAGACTCCGGAGGGGCTCCTACAGCCCAAGCACTATATCGCTGAGGCGTGCAGCCTGACCCAATATTGCTGCGGCGTGCATCTTGATCCATATATCGCCGTGGCGTACAGCCCGATCCATATATATATATATCACTGCGGCGTGCAACCCGATCTATAATTATATAATCCTCACCATCAGGCCCTCGGCCTCTCTCAGTCATCAACCTCACAAGCCACTCGGGCATTTCAATAAAAATCAGGAACTCAGCCCAAACAACTTTCATATATTTAAAAATAGAGTAATGAAACTGAATCAAACAATAAACAGGTAAAAATCATGACTCAGGATATATTTTCGAATAAAAACAGAGTGAGGATAGTAGTAAAATACCCATGAGGGTCCAAACAGTACGGCACAAGGCCCCAAACATGGCATTCAGCCTAAGTTAACAGAATCATTTCTAAAGCACATAGATATCGTATAGAGTTTTCTAGAATATGCAACTTTACAGTTGCCACGGGATGGACCAAGTCACAATCCCTACTGGCGCACCCCCATACGCCCGTCAGCTAGCATGTGCGTCATCTCATTTATCAAAATAGTATGAATTCCGGGGTTTCATACACTCAGGTCTAGATTT